TTTAGCATTTGTCCCCCTCCCCCTTTCATCTGCTTCCCAGATCTTCTCACCAACTCCATGTGCCCAAGAATGCTATTGCCTCCTTTCTCTTGAACTGCAATTTCCACTGTTTGTATAGGAAACCTTTTTAGAAGTAACAGAAGCTGCAAAATGCTTCTAAGATATATTACAAGTCTCTGCCGATCAAAAATAAAACAAGGCAAAACTATCAATCAGTACGAGCCCTTAAGCTTAAGGCTACCCTTTAGCAGCCCTTCTCAAACTATTTGATGATGTGCCAGGTCAGTCATTTATTTCCCAATTGCCACGAACTAGCACAATATTTGTGACATATTGTCATTTCATTTGCACAGTTTTTGGGAAACCTGTTGTGTACTGACAGCCAATGGCTTGTGGGTTGGCAGAGTTCCATGGGCCACTGACCTATGGAATGATTCATTTTGGGATCCTGTACTCAGAATAAATTTAAAGAATAAACTCTGGTTGATCTTGGAGACACGATTTTGTGACCCAGTAAAAAAGGAGAGATATTTGTTTTCCCACTCTGAACTTGGCAAGTCTCAAGGTCAATCTGGGAAACATTTGATCTGACTGTGTTCTTTTCCTCTTTGGAGCTGCAAGCACTGAAATAAGCCCCCTTGTAATAAATATTGCTTGGTTCTATGCTTGGAGGATTTCCTGAAACAGGAGGGTAGGATGATCTCATGCCTTCCTCCTTGCTGACCATGGCAAAAATATTTTTTGACCTAGGTTTATTTTAAAACCACGGGATTTAATGCCTCTTGTGAAACAATATCATTTCTCCTGCCCACAAACTATTCTTTAAAAGGAACTCTTAACTCTTTTCATCCCCAACTGGCATTGATCCAGCTGTGCATATTACTATGAAGTCTGTCACTGTGAAGACAGAATAGAGCACTGCACTCCACCTTTCCTAAGGATGGTCAAACTGGTGCATCCACAAGATAAATTCATTTTGGGATCCTCTTCCACCCAACAAAATAAACTTGTAAGCTACTCTTCAAAACTTTTTAAAATTATAGTAAAAATTTTATTCCACAACTTCATTTATAGAAGAAGAAAAAGTCAACACTTTTGTGTGGTATTGGTGTGAGATGCCCTGGTCGTGCCATAGCACATGTGCTAGAAATTATGTAGATGACCTTTCTTCTAGATGTACCAATGTTATTAATTCTCACCTCCTCTATACAGGAGAATATACTTCTGACATTCTCTGAAATGAAAGAAAATATTCACTCCTTAAGTAACTGAAGTTGCATATAAAAAGTTCAAAATCCAGCCCAATGCTGCATTGATCCAGACAGTGGCTTCCCAGCCATAGCCTTGTTAATTTACTTTATTAGGTTCTTTCTCTGCCCTCACCTCCCACCACCTATAAAATGGGAAAATGACCTCTTTCACATGGATGCTGCAAGGGTAAACAAAAATCCTAACTATTAAAAGGCATTATGAATTAAATATATCCTCTCATGGAAATTCACCTACATTATAGATGATAAGAGTGGCAGATCTAAAAATAAACCTTACAAAAGGAGGATAATCTGGGCTGGGGCTCAGCAGCTTCAGAGCCTTGTCAGAACAGAGGTGGGCTTAGATTCATTGCCTTAGAAGGATATAATCTCTTTCACTGTCAAAATATACAGTTAAGCAAGGTCCTGTCATTTTTTAAAAGGTTAGACACTATGTAAGCTGATAGTTTTGTAAACTAGGTTCACGTTGATACTTTATGCAATGTTAACTCAGGGCCTGAACAGACTGCCAGAAACAATCCAGTTTGAGACCACTTTAACTGTCCTGGCTCAATGCTAGGGAATTGTAGTTCTTCTGAGACATTGACCCTTCTCTGTCAGGGAGCTCTGGTGCCACAATAAACTATAGTTCCCATGATTCCCTAGCACTGAGCCAGGAAAGTTCAAACTGGATTATTTCTGGCGGTCTGTTCAGGCCCATAGTTCTTTATGTTCAAATGCTTATATCATATATAATTATCACTTGGAAAGCAAACTACGGTAAGTCCCCTAATCACTTTACAACATATGCAAAAAGAATTACAAACTGTACAGTACATTGTACTCTTAGCCTAAATACCCTAAAAGGCAACAGATCCGGTCTGATCTTGGAAGAAAAGAAAGGTCAATCCTGGTTAGTACTTGGATGGGAGACCACCAATGACTACCAGGGGCTGCAAGCTGTATTTCAGAGGAAGGAACTGGCAAAACCACCTTTGAGTATTCCTGGCCTAAAAAAATTCATGGGGTTGCCATATGCTGACAGGAGTGCGCATCAGGAAAATAAGACAAATTCCAAATTCCACAAAGGAATGATATATTTGTTGGCTAGTCAAAATGCACAAATTGCATCAATCTTTTGAAGTTCCACTGGCTTCTTCGTCAGATGAAAGATGTTAAAAAATCATACATAAGGAAGAAGTGATGGTGTTGGAGTCACAGGTCAAAATGTTGTGTAGATGTTGTCTCTGCTGTAGTTCAGTTGTAGGGACCTTAATGTAGGCAGAGACCATGCCTCTCTTAGGCCCAAAACACAAATGGGCCAAATAAAGTGGCTTCCAGCTGCTTTGGGGGTGTGGTGTTTAGATGACGCATGCCCCTAAAGCAGGGGTAGGCAACTCAAGGCCCGGGGGCTGGTCCAGCCGCCGCCGCCGCCCGCCATGATGATATTGATTATTGTTGTTATTACTTGTTCTTGGGGTTTTTCTTGGCAAAATCTCCACAGGGGTTTTGCCATGGCTTTTCTGGGGCTGAGAGTGTGCATGCATATGTTTTTTTTTGTTTGTTTGTTTTAAATATATATATATCTATCTTTATTTTTATTTATTTATTCATTTTTTAATTTATTTTTGGTGCTTCAGCCCCCCAATTGTCTGAGGGACAGCAACCCGGCCCCTGGCTCAAAAAGGTTGCCTACCCCTGCCCTAAAGTGACTGGAAGCCATGCCAAGGCTGCGCTCCAGTCCAAGGGACATGATTAAAAAGGAGCAAATTTGAATTGACTCCTGGCTGGTGCGGACTGAGAGTGCATGAGGCGGCCCACTTTGGGAGTGGGCCATGAGGACACTGAGGTCCTGGCTTGATCGCAGCCAGAGACTACTCTTTAACAGCCATCTGCTTCACCTTTTAGCCATGTGGGGATTTAGACAAGGGACAGTAAAATTTAAATTCCATTGTAGTAGAAAAGTAACCCCTCTTGGGATCCAAGGTCTCTCTCTCTCTCGTGAAGCATCAAGTACAAAGCGTCAGGAGTTCAACGGGTATATGTCCTGTCTGTTGTTGTTTGCCTTCAAGTCATTTCCGACCCTTGTGGAAACCCTAAGGTGAACCTATCATGGGATTTTCTTGGGCTAAGAGTGTGTGAATTGCCCTAGGTCACCCAGTGGGTTTCCATGACTGAGCAGGGAATCAAACCCTGGTCTCCAGAGTCATAGGACAACACTCAAACCACTGCACCACACTGGCCGTCGTTGTTGTTGTATGCCTTCAAGTAGTTTCTGAGTTATGGTGACCCTAAGGCAAACTTGTCACAGGGTTTTCTCGACAAGTTTCTTGAGATATATCTTATTAAAGGATGATTAAAGTTGCAACTAATTCAATGAGTGCAATGGAATTCCAAGTAAAATAACTGGTGTCTGTGCATTACAGAGAATATGTAATAGCACCATAATGTCTGGTTTTACTCATCTTGATACAGATTTTCTGCAGCCGTATCTTTTTGTTTACTAATGCTTGCTTCAAGATTCTACACTTAAAGCCTGACTAAGCAGCTACAGTCACAACTATGTATTTTTAGAACGGCATACAATCTGAAGCAAAATAGTAATTTGAAATTATGATGTGGCTTTTAGACCAGCATGCCTGATGTCTTGCATGAATACCACAAATAAGAACGGACCAGCTTCCCAAACGAATCCTGCAAATACTATTCTGTTTTACAGAAAGAAAAAAAACTCAAACCAAACTGGGACCTTGCCTGTTTAAGCAAGCAAAATAAGTGACTCCACAAAGCTGAACGGTTGCTCTGATTGCTGTCACACAGGCAGGCAAGCATGAACTGTGGTCCTTATAAGGAAAAGCCTGTTTTTAATAGGCTTCTAATTTTCTCTGCTCCAGCAGAATGAAAGTCAGATTTTCACTGACTTCACAGTAACTTTCAACTCACAAATGTTCCTCCTATACAGCAATTACTCTATCATTAACACTACATATTCAATCCAAATATTTTTCTCTTGCAAACTCAAGCATGTTTTAATGTGACAAAGGGATAGCAGTAGCATTGGGGGGGGGAGGGAATGCAGGATTCAATTCTGTCCAAAGACACCTGCTCCTTATTTGCACTTTTAAAACCAATTATATTCATATGCATACATACCTAACTTATATAAATATTAACGGTAAAGGTTTCCCTTTGACAGGAATGTCTAATAGTAACTGACTGTAGGGTATGGTGCTCATCTCAGTTATTAAGCCGAAGAGCCAGCGTTGTCTGAGGACTACTCCGGTGGTTATGTGGCCAGTATGAGTGCACCAAATGCTGTTACCTTCCCACCAAAGTGGTGCCTATTTATCTAATTGTATTTGCATGCTTTTGAACTCCTAGGCTGGCAGAAGCTGGGACTAGTGACAGGAGCTCACCCATCATGCAGCACTCAGGCCTCGAACTGCCAACCTTCCCACCTTACAATCGTCAGAACTGGCATCTTAACCACTAAGCCACTACATCTCTATACATAGATATATAAATATGCCTACCTAGAAAAGACAATAATTCTGGGAAAGGTTGAGGGTAGAAGAAAGAGAGGAAGACCGCACGCCAGATGGATAGACTCAATTAGGGAGGCCACACAAATGAGTCTGCAAAACTTAAGCAGAGCAGTAGAAGACAGGGAAGGGAATCTTGGAGATGTCTCACCCACAGGGTTGCTATGAGGTCGACCTGAAGTTAGTTAACAACAAACCTACATGGAGAGCCAGAGTGGTGTAGTGGTTTGCATGTTGGACTATAACTCTGGAGACCAAAGTTTGACTCCCGGCTTGGCCATGGAAACCCACTTTCCCAAATTTATAGGATTTACCCTCCCTGAAGCTTCTTGAAAAATTTGTCTGTTTTAAATGTTGTATCCCACCCCGACTGCCGCGCAGAGGGGCGGGCTATAAATAAAAATTTATTTTTATTATTATTACTGGGCAAATTGCATGTTCTCAGTCTCAGAGGAAGGTAAAGGCAAAGCCTCTCTGAACAATTTTTGTTAAGAAAATCCCATGACAGTTTCACCTTAGGGTCACCATAAGTCCCAAAGGACTTGAAGGCACACAACAACAACAACAACAACAACTTACCTACATGACTAATGATGTGAAGGGCTGAGCCTCAACCCTCTAATCTAAGGTACAATTAACTCCATTTAGGTTTATATAGTATGCCAAACTCCTTAAGTCAGCATGAGAGTAAGGATGGGCTGGAAGGAACAGGCTAATCAATGGAAACTTAAGTTCTGAACCAAGTGGCACTAAATGGAACATCAGATTCAGAACACTTTCCCAAATTTATAGGATTTGCCCTCCCTGAAGCTTCTTGAAAAATTCCAATAAAATCATCTCTTACAGCAGTTGAACCAACCTTTCCCCTCTTCAGGCTCCCAGCCAACAGCTTAAGCAAGTTTCTTTTTTCAGGCAAAGAGACATCACTGAGCCAAGCTGGCTAAAATAAGCTGAACTAAATAAACAAATGCAGCAAGTTAGTTATGGGGTGGAGTGAAATGGATGTCTCAGTTGGCTTAAAAGACTTGGCACAACTAAATAAGCTATGGTCTTACAGAATGGGCTTTAAATCAGTCTCTGCTACTGCTAAGCACTCTACAGAAAGCTAATTCAAATTGCCATACTATGAAAAGGGCCTAGATATCCTTGTGAATAGGTGAAAAATTGCCTGCCATAGTCTAATTTACTCAAAAGTAAATCAAAAGTAGATTGCATTCTGATTCAATCACATCATTGCATTCAAAAATGAGAAAGACAAATACCATGTAGATCAAGTATATCATCAGCTCTTAGAGAAGAAATATCCTGTAATTTACATATCCTAAACCAGGGGTAGGCAACCTTTCCCCTTTAAGGGCCGAGGGACTTCAGCTCCCAGAAGCCTCGGCCATGTTGGCCAATAGTGCCATGTTGGCCAATAGCTCCTGGGATTCTGGGAGCTGAAGTCCCTCGGGCCTTAAAGGGGAAAGGTTGCCTACCCCTGTCCTAAACTGTGATGAATCTGAACAACTGTTTGTTTGATTCCACAAACTAACTACAGTCGTACCTCTACTTACGAATGCTTCTTCTTATGAAAAATTCGACTTACGAAACGCACCTCCAGAAAAAATTTGCTTCAGCTTATGAAAGCGTTCAACTTACGAAAGCCGAGGCCGCGGTTGGAAGGAG